GCCCCAAATCCTTAGGTTTAACCTTCACCCTTGACTGCCCCTTTGGATCCTGTTTGGTTCTTCTGCAAAACAGTCATTTAAAACATTCTCCTTATCTAGGCACAATGGCTCACACTTGTAATCCCAGCACTTTGGGAGTCTGAGGTGAGTGGATCACTTGAGTCCAGGAGTTCCAGACCAGCCTGGGCAACATGGTGAAATCCTGTCTCTACAAAAAAGACAAAAATTAGCTGGGTGTGGTGGTGCATGTCTGTAGTCCCAGCTACTAGGGAGGCTGAGGTGGGAGGACTGATTGAGCTCAGGAGGTCAAGGCTGCAGTGAGCCATGATCATACCACTGCACTCCAGCCTGAGCAACAGAGCGAGACCCTGTCTCAAGAAAAAAGAAAAGAAAAAAGGAAAGATGTTCTCCTTTATGTCACTCAGTATTGCTCTTAGGAAATATGTTTTGTGAAAAATAGATCTTATTATCGCACAATGGGAACCATGTAGTAACCCACGATGTTCTCTTTCTTGGGTTGGCCACCTGGAGTGAAGTGAAATTTCTGTTGGAATTATTTTATCTTTCCCTGGGCTTCTGACTTCTTTCAGATTTTATTTTTGGCCGGGTGTGGTGGCTCACGCCTATAATCCCAACACTTTGGGAGGCCCAGGCCGGTGGATCACTTGAAGTCAGGAGTTCAAGACCAGTCCTGGCCAACATGGTGAAACCCTATCTCTACTAAAAATACAAAAATTAGCTGGGCGTGGTGGTGCATGCCTGTAGTTCCAGCTACTTGGGAGGCTGAGGCAGGAGATTTGCTTGAACCCAGGAGGCGGGGGTTGCAGTGAGCTGAGATCCCAGCACTCCAGTCCAGCCTGGTCAACAGAGTGAAGCTCTGCCTCAAAACAAAAAACAAAAACAAAAACAAACCCAGATTTTGGCCAGTGCGGTGGCTCACGCCTGTAATCCCAGCACTTTGGGAGGCCGAGGTGGGTGGATCATTTGAGGTCAGGAGTTAGAGACCAGCCTGACCAACAAGGTGAAACCCCACCTGTACTAAAAATACAAAAAATAGCTGGGCATAGTGGTGCATGCCTGTAATTCCAGCTACTTGGGAGGCTGAAGCAGGAGAATCACTTGAACCCGGGAGGCGGAGGTTGCAGTGAGCCGAGATCAGGCCATTGCATTCCAGCCTGGGCACCAAGAGCGAAACTCCGTCTCAAAACCAAAACAAAACTAAACAAAAACAGATTTTATTTTCAATTACCCGGTGATATACATAGATACATATAGTTATATGTATGCATTAAACATATACGTGTGTATATTATATATATATAAATCTAAGAGAATAGAAATAAAATATTTATTTCTATTTATATATATGACTTATGTATATACACATTTTTCATATATATATACATGCTAGGATAGTTAGAAGTAAAATCTGAAAAAAATCAGAAGCCCAGAAAAAAGAGAAAATAGTTCTACCAGGAATTTCATTACAGTACATATAATAAATACATTTCAGCTGGTCACCTCTAGTCCAGTTGCTATGGAGGTTGAGGTAGGAAGATCACTTGAGCCTAGGAATTTGAGGCTGCAGTTGCTTTGATCACACTTATGAATAGCTACTCCACTCTAGTCTGGGAAAAATAGAGAGGCACTGTCTCTTGAAAACTAAATAATAAAAGTAAAAATAAGCCCATTTAAAAAATAAACATACTTTAAATCAACCCACTTTTTTGTTCAAATTTATTGTAGTCCTTATATTAAAATAAGAATCTAGAAAAAAAATCCAAGTTTACCTCCAAATCAAATCAATATTTCATTTGTCAGCCTTATATTTCGATCCTTATTTGTGTGCAGATTGTTTTCTATATTTACAGTAACATAATACATAGAATTTTATATTCCACCTCTTCTCTTGATAACATCAGCATGTTTTTCTACTTTGCTCTGTCTCACCTGTTTCTTCTTTTCTGTTTTTTTTTTTTTTTTTTTGAGATGGAGTTTCACTCTTGTCACCAGGCTGGAGTGCAGTGGCCTGGGTGTGGCACTGCACACTTCATGATTGTTACATGAAGTGTAACAATCTTGGCTCACCAATCTCCACCTCCCGGGTTCAAGTGATTCTCTTGCCTCAGCCTCCCAAGTAGCTGCGATTACAGGCGCTCGCCACCATGCCAGGCTAATTTTTGTATTTTTAGTAGAGACGGGGTTTCACCATGTTGGCCAGAGTGGTCTCCAACGCCTGAACTCTGGTGATCCACCTGCCTTGGCCTCCTAAAGTGCTGAGATTACAGACATAAGCCACAGCGCCCCGCCTGTCTCACTTGTTTCTGACTTACCTCCTCTTCCTCTTATCCTTACCATTAGGAAACCAGTGACAACAGTTCGGTGTGCATCCTTGCACATCTTTCTCCTGTGTAATTATTAATAGTTACATTTGGGCAGAGGAAGAGAGAGTTTTGCTATTTGTTTTACAAAACTAAGAATATATAACATAATGCATCTTTTCCTCTTGCTTTTTTGGTTTAACTATGCAAGGACATCCCTCCAGACTAATATAGCGCCAACTCATTCTTTTAGTTGCCTAATATCCTGAGGGATAAAGATACCACAATTTTTTCAGCTGTTCTCGTATTGAAGGGCATTCAAGTTGTTTCTAGTTCTTTGCCACTGTGCACAATGCTGCAACAAGCAACCTCAAAAATACATATCCTTGCACACTAATGCTTTTGTTTCTGTAGGATGTAATCCCCAAAATGGGAATTGTTTATAGAGAGTAGATTGGGGCCGTGCGCAGTGGCTCATGTCTGTAATCCCAGCACTTTGGGAGGCCAAGTCTGGCAGATCACGAGGTCAGGAGATTGAGACCATCCTGGCTAACACAGTGAAACCCCCTCTCTACTAAAAATACAAAAAATTAGCCAGGCGTGGTGGTGGGCACCTGTAGTCCCAGCTACTTGGGAGGCTGAGGCAGGAGAATCGCTTGAACCCGGGAGGTGGAGGTTGCAGTGAGCTGAGATCATGCCACTGCAGTCCAGCCTGGGTGACAAGCGAGACTCCATCTCAAAACAAAAACAAACACAAACAGACAAAACAAACAAACAAAAGAGAAAGTAGATTGGAACAGGATTTGTAAATATATAAAAGTATACGGCGTAGTAACATATACTCAAAAAAGTTTAGTAAATGATGACAATGATAAGAATATTTGACAATACGGTTACCTAGCAGTCTTTTTTTTGATGGTAAAAGGTATGTTTCCCAGCAACCAGAAAGTATACGTCATTGAATGAGAATCTATAAGAAAAGTACAAGAGACAGAAACTGGCCCATAGCAACTGAGAATCATTATTGCCAACCGTATTTCCTGTTGTACTTGTTAGGTGGAGGACCAGGGTTACTCGAAGCCCTGTTACTAAATACTGAGTCCCTGACCCTATGAGCTAATCAAACTGCAACATGCTTTTAATAAACCTGAGCTTCCAAAAGTCTCACCAATTGCATTATCTTGAAGCTAGTGACTTAAGAGTTATGAAGTTGTTGGCTGGGCGCGGTGGCTCACACTTGTAATCCTAGCACTTTGTGAGGCCGAGGCAGGCAGATCACAAAGTCAGGAGATCGAGACCATCCTGGTTAAAATGGTGAAACCCCATCTGTACTAAAAACACAAAAAATTAGCTGGGCGTGGTGGCGGGCGCCTGTATTCCCAGTTACTCGGGAGGCTGAGGCAGGAGTATGGCATGAACCCGGGAGGCAGAACTTGCAGCGAGCTGAGATCATGCCACTGCACTCCAGCCTGGGCGAAAGAGCGAGACTACGTCTCAAAAAAAGAAAAAAAAAGAGTTATGAAGGTGTCTAGATAAGGCGTGTGAAAGAGCATTATGTTAGGAGTCAAACACTAATCCTTGGCTCTGCCAACTTGTCAGCATTGTGGCACTGTGAGCAAGTCTCAAAATCCCTATATAAGAATAAAGCTAATAATACTCACATGGCCTCCTTTGCAATGTTGTAGTGAAGAACAAATGAATTTATGTAAATGAAAGTGCTTGAGAGAGCTATCCAGATATTAGCACTGTTAATACTATTCTGATTCCTGAGGAGGCGATGGACTATGTACGGGGCACCTTTCCTGTTCTTTGTATTGCCAAAGAAGAACATATTACCACTTAAAGAAGATTGATTCTGTAACAATCATGAAGTGTACTATAAAAATACAGATCAATATAACAACAACAGACTTGATGTCAACCACTGAATCTATTTGAAGATAATGCTCAAGACTTCTAGAACAGTGTAAATATTTACAAAGTCGCCTGAGTTTTCAATGTTTCATAGATAAATGAGAATGAAATCATCGAGAATTTTTTTTCTCTTTCCCTTAGTTTCTATTTTTAACTTCTGTACAGTATCAGATGTAATATCCTGGTGTTCTTTCCCAACTCCTGGCCCCTGCCCATGAAGTACACACATGCTACAGGAATCCAGCCTCACTTTGGATGCTTCCTGCCCAATTATTGTTATTTTTACTGTGACTAAAACATTGAGAAATAGGTACCTCTATAGAAAATACTTCATATATTAATACATTACAGATGAACTGTTCTGTGGATGAAATAGTGGAAACCATCTAACAGACATGAAGGATCATTCAATTCAGAAATGTGGCATACTTTCAGTATTCACTCCTTAGGAGGACAGAATGTTGTTATAAGGAGTTCCAGAAATCACAGTGCCAGTTGAAGATTGGCAGTTGGTTCCTTCCAGCTGTTCTTAAAGGTATTCTCTTTGCAGGAATTTAAAAAGTGGCTCACAGTTATAGCTTAAGATGTTTATGTTTAGCTGTTTCTGTTTCGATTCTTCTCTTTGAGAAAATAGGATGTTTTCTAGTAGTGAAGGGTTTATGAAGTTCTGTGGCATTAGATCTAAATGATCACGACTGTGAATAGCTGGTAAAATTAGTGGAGAAAAAAAGTCATGTGTGGGGCATACAATTATGGGGCATAAAATTAGTTACAAAAAAACTAATTTTTATTGTTAATGTTATACGCTTCAACTGGTTGTGGCAGCACCAGGTAGACACCCCAAGCGAAAGAGAAGCAGAGAGTCCTTGGCATGATTTCAGGTTTCAGACTCCCTCATGGTCTTTAGAAACATCCTTCTGGGGCTTCCTTATCATGCTGTTAGGTGTACATCTGTTGAGGACAGGGGAAAAGAGAAAAAAGCTTTTGAGATGGAAGCTGCCTTTATCTAAAATCCTTTTAAAATCTAAATCCTGTTTTCAAAAAGAGTATTTTTGTTGTGATTATTTTACATTTAAGGGTTAAATGTATTAAAATTAAAATATATAATAAGTAACATGGTAGCGTAGTAAATAAAAATATGAAGCATACTCTACTTTCTCAGTTTACCAAGACATGGGGAAAAAATAAAACTTATAAGACAGATAAATTATAGCGGTGATTATACCATTACTAAAGTGCTCTTTGATTTTCTTTTTCTTTTCTTTTTTTTTCAGAGATAGGATCTCACTCTGTTGCCAGGATGGACTGGAGTGCAGTGGTACGATCACAGCTCACTGCAGCTTCTAACTCCTGTGCTCAAGTGATCCTCTCATCTCCTGAGTAGCTGAGACTACAAGCATGCAGCACGATGCCTGGCTGACTTTTAAATTTTTGGTAGAGATAGGGTCTTGCTATTGTTGCCATGGCTTGTCTCAAACTCCCAGCCTCAAGCGATCCTCCTGCCTTAGCCTCCCAAAGAGTTGGGATTTCAGGCGTGAACCATGGCACCTGGCCAGCTCTTTGATTTTCAAAGCATCATATAGATTTCAAATAAACAGCTGAGTTTCTTATACAGAAATAATAATGCATGTTTTTCAATGTTCAGGAAATTTTATTTATTCAGGAACTCATCTATTGTACAAAGCAAAAATGCCTATCTCATAAATAGAATTAAAATTTGAGTGACTTACCCTTAATTTTTTATTTATGTAGCAAAATAAGGAATAAAAAATTAACAATTATTGAGGGAGGAGGAACTCTTAATTATTTTACAGTTTTTACATAAATCAGAAAAAAGATTTTTTTCTTGAACTATTTAGAATTATCCAGAATTGGGGCAAACAAGTAGCCTATAAAATGAGTACTAAACTCAAGTACTGAGTGGCTTGAATTTAGTCTGCACTAGATAGAACTTGATGAAGGCTATTGGAAGGAGGAAAGTGAGTTTGGTATTGAACTTTGGGACATTGTGTACACACAGTTAAAAAAAAAGTGTAGCTATAGTTGAATTTTTAAAAGTTTATTATCGAAATGGAAATTGTTTATTGTTCATAACTTTTCATTATTCTTATTAATATAAATGTATACATTGCAACAGTTTTAGATTCTGAAATTATAAAGGTAGTAGTATTGAAAAGAATTAGATTTGTTATAATGAATATACCATACTAATGTAAAATGTTAATAATAGAGGAAACTGGGGATGGATATATGCAAACTGTTAGTACTTTTTTTTTTTCCTTGAGATGGAGTTTCACTCTTATCGCCCAGGCTGGTATGCAGGGGCGCGATCTCTGCTCACTGCAATCTCTGCCTCTCAGGTTCAAGTGATTCTCCTGCCTCAGCCTTCTTAGTAGCTGGGATTACAGGCATGTGCCACCATGCCCGGCTAATTTTCGTATTTTTAGTAGAGACGAGGTTTTACCATGTTGGCCAGGCTGGTCTTGAACTCCTGACCTCAAGTGATCGGCCCGCCTTGCCCGATCCTCAGCACTCCGAAAGTGCTGGGAATACAGGCGAGAGCCACTGCACCCAGCCTGAGTACTATCTTATTAATTTTTCTGTAAAACTAAAATTGTTCTAAAAAACAAAGCCTAATTAAAAAGAAATTAATAGAAAACAAGAATCACCAGTTTTATACAATCTTTTTGTTCTGGGATTGTTTCCATTATCTGTAAAATCTAAGCATTCAGAGATAAACAAATATTAAAATATTCCTTTAGTATTTTCCTTGGGAAAGTATCATATTACTTAACTATTTGAACCATTTCCAGATTTAGTACAGACTCCTATTTAATAGTTGGTTTGTTAGTACCTAACAAGAACACTACAATATAGATTTTTATTTCCTCACCAAAGTGAAAATTTTTGCTGTCTGTTTTCTGTAAGTTTAAAGCATATAGGTTTTATTTTCTTTTAAAAGTTAAGATTTTAGAGTTAAGAGTGCGGTTCAATTTATATTTTCTAATTAATTAAGCATTTTCTAAAGCTAAAGACTGATTAACATCTTTGGAATGTTTATTACATATACAGATTACAATAAAAGTGTATGAAGTTCACAACAGATGGTAATGTGAAATTTTATCTTGAGCTGGTATTTCAAGTATTATTTTAAAACCTATTTATACTTATTACCTTAAGTTTATTCTTTTAGCTGCTTTATAATTTTTTTTTCAAAATTTAACCCTGTTGAAGATTGTAACAAATCTATTCTAGTTGCTACAGTCTAAAACAGTGCTTGGAAATACTGATGCTTAGTGTTATTTCTATGATTACTTTAATAACATTTCCTGAGTTTAATTTTTTCATTACCCAGCTATCTTTCAGAACTGGTATATTGATTTTTCTAATTAATATTCTTTGTACTTGGGATGGTATTTTTATTTTGTACTTCTAAAGAATTGAATAGCATAACCACTACAAGTGATGTGCTTGCTATGTTATCATATAAATGCTCAAGGTACACCTTCTAATGTTGAAAAATAGGAAAATAAATTGACCTTGATGAAGTGTGTCTTCTTTTGTCTGTTCCCAGGAAAGTTTATTTCAGGTATTTCTTCTGCTGAAATGATTAGCGTTAACAGCTTTTCCCCTCCATTTTATTTCACAGGGTCTCTTCATCTTCCTGATATATGGGGTGTACAACACAGAGGTAAGTCTGCTTGGAGTATCTCAAGGCTGACAGAGTGAATGAGAGAAATGACAGGTTTCTTATCTTGATAACTGAGGAACAAAGTTGGTTTTTCATATGAGTGTCCTACTGCCCTTCATGCTTGGACTAGCTTATATGCATCCCAGCTTACCATTAAACACTGACACCCTGAATAAAGGGACAGCCTCATTTCTCATAGGCATTGACTAATATTTTACGACTGCCTTAAGTTTTTCAACTTTCAGTCTTTAACACTTAGCTATTGTAGAAAAAAACAAAAAACAAACAAAAAACTCAGCCTCTCCTATACTCTCACTCAACAATCAACACAGAAGATTTCTGTGACCAAATGTGTAGGGGTTTCTCCCCACACACTGAGGAAACAATCGATTCTGCAGCAGACACCACCGGGGTGTTCTCCAATTCAATTCTGACACTATCTACCTGGAGACAGCATCAGATCCCACAGATTAAGAGCCCAGGCCTACAAGACTGGCCCCATTTCAGATGCCAATCACGAGCCCCAGGTTGTTTTACCCGTGCTCTGACTCACCAGCTATAAATCGCGGTTCCCATGACCCCTTCCTTGGGCTTGATTAATTTGCTAGAGCAGCTCATAGAACCCAGGCAAACACTTACGTTTTCCAGTTTACTATTAAGGACATTACAAAGGCTATCGATGAACACCAGATGAAGAGATGGATAAAGGAAGGTATGTGGGAAGGGGCGTGGAGCTTCCATGCCCTTTCCGGGTGCGCCACCCTCCCGGAACCTTCACGGGTTCGCTTACAGGAAGCTTTCCAAACCCTGTCCTTTTTAGGTTTTTATGGAGGCTTCACTACACAGGCATGATTGATTAAATCATTGGCCATTGGAGATCAACTTAACCTTCAATCCCTCTCTCCTCCCCGGAGGTCGGGGGGTGGGACTGAAAGTCCCAAACTCTAATCCTGCCTTGGCCTTTCCGGTGACCAGCCCCCATCCTGAAGCTACCTAGGGGTTGCCAGCCATCATCAGTCGCTTCATTAGCATACAAAAAGACATTTATTACTTTGCAGATTCCAAGGATTTTAGCAGTTGTGTGCCACAAAACGGTTCAAAGTCCAAATATATATTTCACAATATCACAACTATACTTGACAGAATTAAAGTGTCAGTTTAAGTGGTGGAATACTTACATGTTGTTTCATGGGATTAGAAAAAAAGCAATTACTTCTTATCTCAAAATGCTCATTAAATATCGTCCTTAAATTTTTTAGGGCAGGCTCAGAGAGGTCCATAAGTATTAGTAAATAATCCCTATGGTTTCGATTGTGAAATTTCTCAGAGAATTTATTATTTAATTATGAGAAATTATTTAGCTAGAAACATTGTGACGTACATGTAATTTCATTAAGAAAACATACTATGTAAACAAGCTGTTGTCATAGTTCTGGTTCTTTTATTTAAAATTTCTCATTTATAAATATCCTTTGCTAGGAAAATGTCTGGTTTAGATTTCTGCGTGCTTAACATGAAATCGAATGCCTTGTGCACATTAGGCACTGAATAAATATTTGTTGTTTGATTTTGTTGATATAACTTTGATTTTAAGATTTTACTTCATTACTTTCCTTTACGAGAAAAATTTCTAAATTTGCAATGAGTTTCTCGGCATTCTGTACTGGCGAGGAGAGTGGATCCTAGCAGAGCTCTTAGAATGGCCTGGTGGTTAATTTTGCATAAACAATATAAAGGGCCAGGCATTTATAACATGGCAAACAGACTGATTAGCCAGGCTAAGGTATGGGGGCATTTAAATAAGATGTGATGATAATGAAGTATGTGTGTGGGCGTGTTTTACAGGACTGCTGCACCTGGATTACGCTCGGTTTCCTCTTCCAGTAGCCTTCAGGAAGGTTGGCAGTAAGACAAGATTTTTTTGCTTTCTTTTTTTTTGCAACGGTACCACTAATTGCGGTTTCAAAGCAGGCTCCTCCTATAAATGCAAAGGATATGCGCCCATTATTAGTGCTTCCAAATTCAAAGGGATAACATAAGCACCTGTTTTAATAAATGTTGAGCATTTGGAGTTGAATGCTTCTTGATAGAATCAAAAGTGCCCTCAATGATCCACTTCTGAGTTTGAATTTTATTTCAAGACCTGGATTGCAAAACCTAGAGTGAAGAAAGCCCTAATATTGAATCCTCAGTTTCCCCCACCTTCTCTTTCAGCCCCTTTCTCTGCATCTCCCACGCCACGCTGTAGTACAGTCCCCCGTAACTTCCCGCCCCTTGGGTTCCACCTCCTGAGCGTTTTCCCCCCAGAAACCCTCAACCACTTTCATCTCCTTCAGTGCAGCCCACCAATCACGCCTATGCGCCTCGAAAGCCCCTTTTTAGTAGGGCTCCAAATCCCCGCCTCTCCTGCCCTTGCTCCCCCGCCTCCGCCCAACCGCCCCAGTGATTGACAGGCAGACCGGGCGGAAGCTGCGGCGCAGGCGCCCTGGCTCCTCAGACCTCCCCTCTGGCCGGGTCGAGGAGTTCCCAGCAGACACTGCGCCGCGGCTGCGCAGTACACGGGAGGCTTTTAATTCCATTGTGGAGAGGACGGCGTTATTTTTATTAACTGGAGGCGACGGCGGCTGCGGCGGCGGCGGGACCCGTAAGTGTTGCCGGTGGGTCCAGGAGGGAGAGGGCGAGGCCTGGGGAAGAGTCGCAGGACCATGCGTGCCGGTGCCGGAGGCGACTGGGCTGGGAATTAGTGCTGGGCGCGTTGCGGTCTGGGCGGCGGCGCGGCGGGGTCCTTAGCGCTGCGGTGGTCCCGGCCCGGGGCCCGGTTCCACCTCCTTTCCTCCCTCTTCCCTCTTCCTCCTCCTTTCCTCAGCCAGGCCTCCTCCGGGGTATGAAAATCGGCAGTGGGTTCCTGAGTGGCGGCGGAGGTACCGGCAGTAGCGGTGGTAGCGGCTCCGGCGGCGGTGGTAGTGGCGGCGGCGGCGGCGGCAGCAGCAGCAGCGGCAGGAGGGCAGAGATGGAACCCACCTTTCCCCAGGGTATGGTTATGTTCAACCACCGGCTTCCCCCGGTCACCAGCTTCACCCGGCCGGCGGGGTCGGCCGCCCCTCCCCCGCAATGCGTGTTATCCTCCTCTACCTCCGCAGCCCCGGCCGCTGAGCCCCCCCCTCCGCCAGCCCCGGACATGACTTTCAAGAAGGAGCCGGCGGCGTCAGCCGCGGCCTTCCCCTCGCAGAGGACCTCCTGGGGATTCTTGCAGTCTTTGGTTAGCATCAAACAGGAGAAACCCGCGGATCCTGAGGAGCAGCAGTCCCACCACCACCATCACCACCACCACTATGGGGGGCTGTTCGCTGGAGCTGAAGAGAGGTCTCCAGGCCTAGGAGGCGGTGAAGGGGGGAGTCACGGCGTCATCCAGGACCTCAGTATTCTCCACCAGCATGTCCAGCAGCAACCAGCTCAGCACCACCGCGACGTATTGCTCAGCAGCAGTAGCAGGACTGATGACCACCATGGCAGTGAGGAGCCAAAGCAGGACACTAATGTCAAAAAGGCAAAAAGGCCAAAGCCAGAATCTCAGGGAATCAAAACCAAGAGGAAGCCAAGTGCATCTTCCAAACCTTCTTTGGTTGGAGATGGAGAAGGTGCCATCCTCTCCCCAAGTCAGAAACCTCATATCTGTGATCACTGTAGTGCTGCTTTCCGAAGCTCCTATCATCTGCGGAGACATGTCCTCATTCATACAGGAGAAAGACCTTTCCAGTGCAGCCAGTGTAGTATGGGTTTCATTCAGAAATACCTACTACAGAGACATGAGAAAATTCATAGTAGAGAGAAGCCATTTGGATGTGATCAGTGCAGCATGAAGTTTATTCAGAAGTACCATATGGAGAGACACAAGAGGACACATAGTGGAGAAAAGCCATATAAGTGTGACACTTGCCAACAGTATTTTTCAAGGACTGATAGATTGTTGAAGCACAGGCGCACATGTGGTGAAGTCATAGTTAAAGGAGCCACTAGTGCAGAACCTGGGTCATCAAACCATAACAATATGGGTAATCTGGCTGTGTTGTCTCAGGGAAATACAAGTTCTTCAAGGAGAAAAACAAAGTCAAAAAGCGTAGCTATTGAAAATAAGGAACAGAAGACCGGTAAAACAAATGAATCACAGATTTCAAATAATATAAACATGCAGAGTTACTCAGTAGAAATGCCTACCGTGTCTTCCAGTGGAGGCATAATTGGCACTGGAATAGATGAACTGCAGAAAAGGGTGCCAAAATTGATCTTTAAGAAAGGAAGCAGAAAAAATACAGACAAAAACTACCTTAACTTTGTGTCACCATTACCGGACATAGTAGGACAGAAATCCTTGTCTGGAAAACCAAGTGGCTCACTTGGCATAGTATCAAATAATAGTGTGGAGACCATTGGTCTTCTCCAAAGTACAAGTGGCAAACAAGGTCAAATAAGTAGTAATTATGATGATGCCATGCAGTTTTCAAAGAAAAGAAGATATTTACCAACTGCCAGCAGCAACAGTGCCTTTTCTATAAACGTAGGACACATGGTCTCCCAACAGTCTGTCATTCAGTCTGCAGGTGTCAGTGTTTTGGACAATGAGGCACCATTGTCACTTATTGACTCCTCAGCTCTAAATGCTGAGATTAAGTCTTGTCATGACAAGTCTGGAATTCCTGATGAGGTTTTACAAAGTATTTTGGATCAATACTCCAACAAATCAGAAAGCCAGAAAGAGGATCCTTTCAATATTACAGAACCACGAGTGGATTTACACACCTCAGGAGAACACTCAGAATTGGTTCAAGAAGAAAATTTGAGCCCAGGCACCCAAACACCTTCAAATGATAAAGCAAGTATGTTGCAAGAATACTCCAAATACCTCCAACAGGCTTTTGAAAAATCCACTAATGCAAGTTTCACTCTTGGACATGGTTTCCAATTTGTCAGTTTGTCTTCACCTCTCCACAACCACACTTTGTTTCCAGAAAAACAAATATACACTACGTCTCCTTTGGAGTGTGGTTTCGGCCAATCTGTTACCTCAGTGTTGCCATCTTCATTGCCAAAGCCTCCTTTTGGGATGTTGTTTGGATCGCAGCCAGGTCTTTATTTGTCTGCTTTGGATGCTACACATCAGCAGTTGACACCTTCCCAGGAGCTGGATGATCTGATAGATTCTCAGAAGAACTTAGAGACTTCATCAGCCTTCCAGTCCTCATCTCAGAAATTGACTAGCCAGAAGGAACAGAAAAACTTAGAGTCTTCAACAGGCTTTCAGATTCCATCTCAGGAGTTAGCTAGCCAGATAGATCCTCAGAAAGACATAGAGCCTAGAACAACGTATCAGATTGAGAACTTTGCACAAGCGTTTGGTTCTCAGTTTAAGTCGGGCAGCAGGGTGCCAATGACCTTTATCACTAACTCTAATGGAGAAGTGGACCATAGAGTAAGGACTTCAGTGTCAGATTTCTCAGGGTATACAAATATGATGTCTGATGTAAGTGAGCCATGTAGTACAAGAGTAAAGACACCCACCAGCCAGAGTTACAGGTAAGGTCCCAAAAGTGACCAGGCTGGGGGTCTTCTAATGTAATTTTGTTTTATTTTGACAACACTGCCATTGGAATGTTTCTACACGATCCTATTAAGAATAATGTGATGCCCTTTCAATGCAACTTTTCATATTTAGTTTATTTTGTTAGTGTGATTTTAGCTCTGTTTGTATTATGATTTTTAATCAAAATCAATAGA